TCCTTTTCCTACTGCAACTAATAGTGTTGTGTGCGTGTGTGTGTGTGTGTGTGGGGGCGGGGGGGGGGTTCTAAGATACTTGCATAGTTGGTGATTAACAGCCAACGCTTTTGGGCTTGACAGTATGGATTTTTGTTTTGCTTTGCTTTATGGATTGTGTTTTGCATATCTTATCCTAAGTTGGAATACTACCAAGTAGCTATATTTCTTGAGAATGATTTATCGCTTGGTGCATAAAATATTGTCCGTCATGGTCCAGGCTGGTTAATTAACAAAAGCTCTGAAGATGTTGAATTGTGATGTAAGCATCTTTTGTCTCCTTTGGGACTCTATAGGTTAAAGCAGTGTATGTGAAGAACTTGCCCAAAAACATTACTCAAGACAAGCTAAAAGAGTTGTTTGAACATCATGGGAAAATTATGAAAGTAGTTCTTCCTCCAGCTAAACCAGGGCAGGAACAGAGCAGATATGGCTTTGTTCACTTTGCTGAGAGGTCAAGTGCTATGAAGGCGCTGAAGAACACTGAGAGATATGAGATAGATGGTACATCTGTTTCCTACTTCTTTCTTTGGATTTGATTTCATTTTCATACAACAAAATGTATGATGACACTGATGCATCGGTGCTCTTATACAGGAAAAATACTGGAGTGTTCACTCGCAAAGCCTCAGGCAGATCAGAAATCTTCTGGAGGATCAAGCTCACAAAAGGGGCCCACACTTCCAACTTACCCTCCTCGTATTGGCTATGGCATGGTTGGAGCTCCCTATGGTGCTCTAAGTGCAGGATATGGTGCTGCAGGTGTTGGCCAAGTAAGAACTTTTTCATGTTTTTGATGGTGACTGTTTGTCTTCGCATTTGATGTTCTGGCCTTTTCAATCAACCAACTATACCTTAATCTATATTAGTTTTTAGTATATATTAGTCCTCTATATAAATTATGCTATATTTAAGGCATTGCATTCTACCCCCCCTCCCCCCCTTTTAAAAAGATTGTCTTAGTTTGACTTGACACAAACTATAATAACGAAGAGAAGACTTCTAAGATATGTGGTGCCATAACATTCGTGTGACTATAAAACTTTTGAAACTGTGGTCTGAAACCTGCCATAACATTTGTGTGGCTATAAATGCTTTCTATTAAGGAAACATTGAAAGGTGCCAATCTTTTTGAAACAGACTAATAAGGAAATAATGCCAAATCTTTTTGAAACAAAGGGAGTATTAAATAATTTGTCTTCTAAGGTACATTAAGATCTCTAAAACTAGATATTTTATTCAAGAACTCATACTTGTCCCTGCATATGAGTCTCTGCCTAAGTAAAAAGACTCAGTAAAAGTACCTAGACATAGGACTGAGTTTTAATATCAATGAGTTAATAACTCTTAGGGGTTGTTTGGTTCCAATATGGGATATCCAGGATTATAATTCTGGGATTATGATCTCACATCCAATGTGTGATAGGTAATACCAAGTTTTGGGAATAGGACTTGTATCGGTATTAGCTAATTCCTACTATAACCAAACATGGGATAAATGCAATCCCAAATTGTATCACGGGATTAATATCCATATTCCGATAACCAAATGACGCCTTATATGTATCATTTGCTTCCATTGTGTTTTGTTCCAGTGTTTTATTCTTAGCTAAGTCTACATTGGTTACAAAAGGTTATAGGTCTTTTGAGGCAGATTTGTCGATGTGATTTTAGGTCTACCTCGTTTCTTTTAATCACCTAATTATCATATTGTTGCACTTATGTTAGCGGTGCATATGAAAGTTAGCACTTGGCACAGCACATTACAAAATCTTCTCTATTTGTGCTACTTTTGACTTTGGTCAGATGTGATCAATTTATATTGGAGAATACTACACTCATCCCTCATCGCTTGTATGAGGATTTCCAAAGGGGTTTATAATGTTGTGGGTCACTCCACCCATTGCTTTAAGTTTTTGGGTTGGATGATCAGTTTATTTTAAATGGTATCAGAGCCAAACTTTGTTGGGCTTGTCTGCACATCCCTTTTCTCTCTTCACCCTCTCTCTCTCTCTGGTAACTCTCTCTCTCTCTCTCTCTCTCAAAAATCAGCCCATGAAGCTGCTTTTGGCTTCTTTCTCTTTTTCTCTCTCTCAATTCGACAGCCCATCGAGGTAATAACGTTTCTCCAGGCCTACTCATTAGCTTATTGAGCCTAACCTGACTCCCTCTACTCCAAATCCAGTACTGTTGAGCTTCCTCTGTCCTCTCTACTTCAGGAAAAAAAGGTAGACAAAGAAAAGAAAATTAAATTCACGTGTAAACCATATAACTTGGTTACACAAGCGGGACAATGTTAGAGAATGCTACACTTGTCCCTCAACGGTTGGGTAAGGGTTTCCAAATGGGTTCATAATATCATGGGCCTCTCCACATCCCTTTAGGTTTTCGGTTGGATGCTTAGGTTATTTCACAGTTTCTCAAATGTTTGTCCAATCTTGTACGACTGCGAATCCTAGTCTTTTTTTTTCCAGAAACGCCTTAATGTTAACTTTGCCTCAAATATATAGATTCCTAAAGGTGGATTTTGCTGTTCTTGATACATATATCTAGTGTTGGACATCCCCTCCCCCACTCCCCCCCCCCCCCCCCCAAAAAAAAAAAAAGGGGAAGAAGAAAGAAAAAATTGAGTGTTTGTTCCATTTATTTGTAGCTTGTAAGCAAGCTTTCTTTTGTTAACTGGCAAGCTTTCTTTTGTTAACTGCTGCCTTCAGTTGCTAGGTTTCCGCTGGGTCATTTTCTTGTGGCGACTTGTGCAGGACTTCTATTAATGAATATGATTACAACAACAACAACAAACCCAGTGAATCCCACATAGTAGGGTCTAGGGAGGGTAGAATGTACGCATACCTTACCCCTACCTTGTTAAGGTAGAGAGGCTGTAGTAATGAATATGATTTAATCATCTAAAAATTGTTGCTAATTATACTCTAATTCATAAAAGCAAAAACTTTGAGGAGATAACCAGTTTCCAATCAGAGTAGTCAAAAGGGCAAAAGAGCGCCAAAAATTTCCTGGAGCTTTAAGTGCAATGCTCAATTAAAGCGTGGGCTAAGGGAAAAAAGTGCTGATGAAGAAAAAACAAGGAATAGAAATGTGATGCACGAAAATGTTACTGTAAACACAAACAATAATTATTTGGACAAAAGAATAGAAAAACTATAATTAAACAATATATATGTTGTGCCCTTTAAAACAATAACTTTGTAGTATACAAAGTTGCAATGTATACTACAAGATTCCCGTGTTAATTAAATCTAAATTGGATGGGTTAATGGGCCTTATATTATCATACTCATGTGTAGCTTGTGTTCAGGTAAATTTGTGAATCTGCAGCTCTACTAACACTTGTTACCTCACTTCACAGCCACTGGTCTATGGAAGAGGAGCTACACCTGCTGGCTTGGCGATGATGCCGATGCTTTTGCCTGATGGAAGGATTGGATATGTGCTGTAAGTATTAACTTGTCTATAGCAGTCGCTTTGGTAAGCTTGATAACGATAGGAAAAGTCCAATCTGATTTCATGATACAAAGGAAAACTAATGTCCAGGGCCAAAGTTAATTATCAATTTCTGCAATTTCAGAATCCCAGTTATCACGACTCATGGCTGAAATTCAAGAAATATAATACCATTAATGCATATTATGTAAAAGAGGCGCTTCTAAGACAAAAGGCATGCAATCCATATATAACACTGGTGAACCTCTGGTGAAACATTAGATCCTATGATATTAGTAATAGGGTGTTTAATTAGGTTCCTATATACCTGGTTGAGTAGTAAATGCATCATGGTTGGTTCACTTTGTTCCAGAATCTTCATCAGAATAAGCATTCTGCTGATACTTGTCACTTGTGACAGTTAGCATTGTGTAGACACTTGGTCAATTCTAGGAAGCGTTTCTGTGAAACTGTTTCTTTTGGGCAAAGAAGTGAAGATATTCTATTAACAAAGGTGCTTGTCTAGCACCCAAGGTGTGGCTTAGTGGTCAATGATGTAGGCACAAACCTTGAGACCAGAGTTCAAATCCTGGCAGAGACAAATACTAGGTGATTTCTTCTCATCTGCCTAAGCCTTGTTACATAGAGTTACTGATACAACCTAGGGAGAACCACACCCCAAAAGCTAGCTATTAAGGTGGGAGAGCCCAAGGCTATATAAACCCCACATCAACACTTTGTAGTACCGATGTGGGACTCAAGTCCCATTCCTTGCAATAGTTCATAACAAACCACCACGCTCCGCACCCGTCGTCCTCGACGGCTGTGCGCTAGACATTTCTAGCCCCGAACACTGCAATACCGGCGTCACCATCCAAGGCACGGTGGGCACAGAGGATGGTGGATGGCTCTGATACCATTGATACAACCTAGGGTGAACCACACCCCAAAAGCTAGCTATTAAGGTGGGAGAGCCCAAGGCTATATAAACCCCACATCAACACTTTGTAGTACCGATGTGGGACTCAAGTCCCATTCCTTGCAATAGTTCATAACAGTTACCCGGTACCTCTGTTGGTGGGAAGTAGCAGGTATGTGTAGGGGTGTGCATTCGATTTATCGATTCGATTTTGACCCTTATCGATAATTACTTATCGATTATCGATTTGTACATATGCTTATCGTTATCGTTTCAATAAGGTTTCGATTTTTTCGATTTCGATTTATCGATTTTGGGGGCTTATCGATTCGGTTATCGATTACACCAATAAGAAAATTTGCGGGATTCCACGGAAAGTATATCGCTATAAACGCGCCTAACTAATATGGACAAAAAGAAGCTAAAATAAGACGAACACCATTTATAATATAAAAATTGTGTCAAACAAGCACATGCAACAAAACTAAAGTAAGGGATCAAATGTATGCCACCAACACTCCCAACGGTATAAAAAAAACAAAACAAAATAAAACACATCATCACGGCTAATTCTGTTTTCCATTAATTTGAACTTCATTCCCTTGATCTTTAAATATGACCATTCCTTAAAATGTGGTAGAGGAAAGGGTATAGATTAGGAAAATAATATTGTATAGCCGCTTTCAAAATAGTAGCAGAATATATATACATTCTGTATGTTATATTAATCTACACAAATAGGTAATTACTCATTTAACAAGTGTCTACAGTCTAGAGGTGTGCATTCGATTTATCGATTCGATTTTGACCCTTATCGATAATTACTTATCGATTATCAATATGTACATATGCTTATCGTTATCGTTTCAATAAGGTTTCGATTTCGATTCGATTTATCGATAAACCGATTCGAATGCACACCCCTAGGTATGTGGTGGAATAGTCAAGGTGTGCACAAGCTGACCCGGACACCATCATATCAAAAAAGAAAAAAAAAGGGTGCTTATCTGTTTCAAATATTTGAAAGAAAGTCTTTACAGAAACTTGAAGAAATGTTTATAATAAGTTGTAGATGTGCTAACAGGCTGCTTTTTGATGGAAAAGTGCCTTTTCTGAACCTTGCTTAATAGCAACATGGTCCCTAAAGTTTTTTGACTAACTTTATTTTAACCCAGCATTAACATCGTTTTGCAGTGCAACCATGAGATAGGAGGATGCAATTTAATATAGAAATTTAATTAAGTTGGACGCAAATGTGGTAATTTTTAGATAATTGATGGTTCTTATAATAAACTAGATAAAAGTCCATGTTTTTGTTTTTTGATAATTTACATCCAAACAACAAACTTGCAACAACATTTTCTGTGTAAGTTGCCCTTCTTTCTGTGTTTAAACAGTTTACTTGGGATCCAAAAACTAATTTTTTGGGACAAGTTATCTATGCACAGGTTTCGTCTTCAAAAAACTTCTCAAGATACATTTTGTAAAATTTGTCCACACTGCTCCTTAGACTCTTTGAGTGTGGGGTTATACACAGGTTGCATCACACCATGATCTTAGAGTTGTGTTCTTTTCTTTATCTTTTTGTTATTGCATCAGATCATTTTACTTAACAGCTCTTTGGGGGGAGGGGGTTAGGGGCTTAAGAAGTTAAAGTTTTAGTCATCTAGAAGTCACCTGCCTCTTAGAACTACTCGCCCCTGCAGAATGAAACATAATTTATTGCTTGCGCTCGGTGTTCCATGTTTGCAAGTTTTGCTTTTCTCGTACAGTTGAATATTGGTATTCTGTCCTTTCCTCTAGTTTTTATTGTTAATACAGAACTTAGTGAACTTTCAGCTGAGAATTTTATCTTTTTGAAATGATTGACAAGGTTTTCAATATGCTCATTTATTCCTTCCAGTATTTTTCTTATCTGATGTCGCCTCACGTTGTTCAAAATGTAACTCATTGCATCCGAGATGCTTGGATGATGACAGGTGTCAAATTATTGTTGTTCTTGTGTTTGGTATATTTGTATTTGATTGGTTCGAAAATGACAAAGAAGAGTTTTCTTTATATCATCTCTGATCTCTTTTCCCTGTCCAGGCAACAACCAGGTGTTATGCATTCCCCACCTCCAGCATCACGTGGTGGCCGCAGTGGCGGAGGAGGTTCAAGTGGTGGAAGGCGGGGTGACAGTGGACGGGGGCGTTCCCGGTACAACCCTTACTAGGTGTAAATGAGCGCAGCAATGTGTTATTAAAGAACAATATTTGAGGGTATTCACTTTGACAATTTAAGTTATTTGACTGATGTATCTGTAGCCTGTTTAAAGAATTTACTCTTATCTGTAGTGTCTCCCTTTAACAAACTCTCTTCATGTCAATTTTCCCCTGTTAAAGTAAATGTTTGCACTTCTACCAGCTTCTTAACGTTGGAGTTAAAACAGAGAGGAAAACTCGTGTGTATTTACAGTAGTAGATTCCTTGTGAGAAATGATCCGAGTCTTGCACGCAAGTATCTATTCACTTCAGTTTGGTAAACTAATCAATGTGCCTTGTTGATACTTGGGGGCTCATATATTTTATGATGTCCGGGCTTAATTTATGTATACAATTTAACTATTTTAACGGGTATTTGCTATTTTTTACCAGCCGCAAATATTGAATTGCTATGCCTAACATCTTTTTTGGCTCCTTTCTCGAGGATTTAAAGTTTAATTTTTAATGATTTTTACCAACTTTATTAACTGGTAGGCCACGCCCTTAGGTGACTAGAATAGCATTTTTCAAAAAGTTCCAAGAGTTCATTTCTTTTCAAGTATCAAATTAACTTAAGGTTAACTAAAAAAGTGGATATAATCATAAACTCGTGTGGTATGATTTCAAAACACTGAAAAATGAATTCGTAAGTCATGATGAAGTGATGTGTATTGGTCACTAAGTTGTTTTCTATGTACCTATGAAATCTTAGATCGATTGGAGTTAATATCAATTTTTTTAGCAAAATCAACATGTACTAATATACACGAAAAAGTGAATATAATCACAAATTCGTGTTGCATGGTCACTAAGTCCTTTGGACCTACAAAAATTCAGGCCAATCGAAGTTCGTCAAAAAACTTCTACAAAACCAGCATGTAGTAATACACACAAAAAGGGGATATGATCACCAATTCGTGTAGCATGACCATGAAACGCCATAAAATGAACCCACAAGTCATGGCGAAGCAATAAATATTGGTCACTAGGCCGTTTCTTATAAGCCTATGAAATTTCAGGCCAATCGAAGTCCGTCAAAAACTCTAGAAAATCAGCATGTACTAATACACGAGAAAAGGTTGTAGCGAAGCTATGACTATTGTTCATTAGGTCGTTTCGAATGGGCCCACAAATTCGTCCTGAATTCTTGTTTATGACCCTAAAACGCCAAAAAATGTGGAACAATCATGGCGAAACGATGACAATTGTTTATTAGGTCGTTTCTAATGGGCCCACAAAATTTAGGCGACTCGGAGCCCATCGCCCAAATTCATGAATACGGCGTGGACATTAGCACACGAAAAATTAGAAATCGACTTGAATTCCTATTTTATGGCCCTAAATGCCAAAAAAAAAGAGGAACGACATGGAAAAGCGATAAATATTATTCATTAGGTCATTTTTGATGGGCCCAAAAAATTTCTGAGTGATTCGGAGCCCATCGCCCGAATTCATGAAGATAGCGTGGACATTAACACACGATAATTAGAAATCGTCATGAATTCCTTATTCATGGTCCTAAAACGCCAAAAAATGAGGAATGATCATTGCGAAGCGATGACTATTGTTCACTAAATTATTTCTGATGGGCCCACAAAATTTTAGGAGATTTTGAGCCCTTCGGCCGAATTCATGAAGATGACGTGGACATTAGCACGTGAAAAATTGGTAATCGTCTTGAACTTCCTGTTTTATGACCCTAAAATATCAAAAAACGAGGAACAATCATAAAAAATCAATACAATTGTTCATTAGGTCATTTTTTGTGGGCCTAAAATTTTTTAGGCAGTTCGGAGTTAATCACCCGAATTCATGAAGATGACATTAACATTAGCACATGAAAAATTAAAAATCATCGTGAATTTTGTTTTACGGCCCTAAAATGCCGAAAAAAAGAAAAGAGAAACGATCATGGAGAGATAATGAATATTGTTCATTAGGTTGTTTCTAATGGGTCTATAAAATTTTATGCAATTCGGAGCTCGTCGCCCAAATTCACGGAGATGACGTGGACATTAGCACACGGAAAAATAAAAACCATTGTGAATTCCTATTTTATAGCTCTAAAATTCCAAAAACAAGGAATGGTCATGTCGAAGCTATAACAATTGTTCATTAGGTCGTTTTGGATTTCCAATTTTGGATTCATGCATGTGGACGACCGGACCCGAATCGTCTAAATTTTTCAGGCCCTTCAAAAACGACCAAAGGAACAATAGTCATCACTTCTCCATGACCATTCCTCGCTTTTTGGCGTTTTAGGGTCATAAAACTTGAATTCCGTCCATTTTTCAAATTTTCGTGTGCTATAGCCCACGCCATCTGCATACATCAGGGCTGCCGGACCCGAATCGCCTAAAATTTTTCCGGACCATAAAAAATAACCTAAGGAAGAATAGTCATCGCCTCGGGATGACTGATTCTTGTTTTTTGGCGTTTTAGGACCATAAAACTAAGGAACAATAGTCATCGCTTCGCCATGACCATTCCTCATTTTTTGGCGTTTTAGGGCCATAAAAGTGGAATTTTGCCAAATTCTCAGATTTTCGTGTCCTACAGCCCATGCCATCTGCATGCATCCACGCGACCAGACCCGAATCGCCTAAAATTTTGCCGGCCATAAAAACGGACCTATGGAATAATAGTCATCGCTTTCGCAATCGCTCCTCCTTTTTTGGTGTTTTAGGGACATAAAACTGGAATACCGCCCAATTCCTAGATTTTCGCGTGCCTATAGCCCACGCCATTTGCATGCATCGAGTGACCCGACCCGAATCGCCTAAAATTTTGCCAAACCATAAAAGTAACAATAATATCGTCTCGCCATGCACATTCCTCGTTTTTCGGCGTTTTAGGGTCATATAATTGGAATTCAGCACGATTGCCAAATTTTTGTGCGTTATAGCCCATGCCATCTGCATGGGTCCGGGCAACCGGTGGTAGAGGGCCTAAAATTTTACCGACCCTTCAAAAATGACCTAAAGAACAATAGTCATCGCCTCGCTATGACCGTTCCTTATTTTTGGCGTTTTAGGGCCATAAAACTGGAATTCCGCCTGATTCCTAGAATTTTGTGTGTATAGCCCATGCCATCTGCATGAGTCCAGGCGACAGGACCCGGATCGCCTAAAATTTTGACGGCCCGTCAAAAATAACCTAAGGAACAATAGTCGTCCTCACCATGATCATTCCTTATTTTTTGGCGTTTTAAGGACAAAAAACTGGAATTCCACCCGATTCTCAGATTTTCGTGTGTTATAACACACGCCATCTGCATGGGTCCGGCTGACCGGTGGCCATGATCGTTCCTCATTTTTTGGTGTTTTAGGGCCATATAATTAGAATTCCGCCTGATTCCCAAATTTTATGTGATATAGCCTACGCCGTCTGCATGGGTCCGAGCGAACGGACCTGGATTGCCAAAAATTTTGGCGGCCCATCCAGATGATCAAATAATCAATAATTATTGCTTTACCATGACTGTTCCTCATTTTTTGGCGTTTCGGGACCATAAAATAGGAATTTAGGGAGATTTCAACCTTTTCATGTACTTATGCCCATGCGATCTTCATGAATTTGGGTGACGGGCTCCGAATTGCCTAAAATTTTTTGAGCCCATAAAAAATGACATATTGAACAGTAGTCATCCCTTCTTTATGATGGCTCCTCATTTTTTAGCGTTTCGGGGCAGTAAAATAGGAATTTAAGGCGATTTCAGCCTTTTTATGTGCTTATGTCCATGCGATCTTTATGAATTTGGGTGACGGGCTATGAATCGCCTAAAATTTTATTAGCTCATCAGAAACAACCAAATGACCAATAGTTATTGCTTTCCCATGACTGTTCATTATTTTTCTGCATTTCTGAATCATAAAGTAGGAATTTAAGGTGACTTCTTGGAGGTATGGTGCACACAAATTTTATGAACTCCAGTTGACCTGAAATTTGATGGGTCCAATGAAAACAACGTTGTTTGAAATGCTCACCATGACTATCAGCATTTTTTTAAAAAAATGTTTTGGGGTCATAAAACAGAAATTAATTATTACATCTTTTTTTTTTTTTCATGTGCTTATATTCTTGATGATTTTCCTAAATTTGGTTGATGGACCCTACAATTGGCTAAAATTTGGTGGATCCGTTTGATACGGTCTTTTGAGCAATACTCTCCATGACTATCATTATTTTTTGGCATTTCGCAGCCATAAGAATACTATGAACGGTCACGCGAAATCTACTTGTGCTATGCACGACAAATTGGATCCTACCGGTGCTGAAAAAGTTTACGACTCTGATTGACCTGAATTTGGTGGGTCCATTCGAAACTGCCTTTTGAGAATACTCTCCATGACTGACATTATCTTTTGGCATGTCAAGGTCATAAAACGAGAATTAATGATTATGTCCATTGTTTCGTGTGTTTATATACATGATGATTTTTCTGCATTTGGTTGATGGACTTCGATTGGCCTAACATTTTGGTAATTTATCGAATACGGCCTTGTAAGCAATATTCACCATGACTAACTTTATTTTTTGGTGTTTCAGGGTCATAAAAATACAATGCACGGCCACTTGGATTCTACCGGAACTCAAAATGTTTACGGACTCCAATTGACCTGAAATTTAGTGGGTCCAATGAAAATGGCCTTGTGAGAAATACTCGCCATGACTATCATTATTTTTTGATTTTTCGGGATCATAATACAAGAATTAATAATTATGTCCATTTTTTCGTGTGTAAATACATGATGATTTTTTTAAATTTAGTTGATGGACTCCAATTGGTTCTATCGAATACGGCTTGTGAGCAATACTCACCATGATTAACTTACGCTTTTTAGCGTTTTAGGGTCATAGGAATAATATGCACGACTACATGAAACCTACTCGTGCTATGCATGGCCACTTGAATCCTACCAAAGCTCAAAAAGTTTACGGACTCCGATTGACCTGAAATTTGACGATCCACTGAAATATTACTTTAGTTCACATAGCCTTTTTTTAAAATATTAATACTTACATGATGTATGCTCAATTATGATATAGATCATATTTTTACATAATGGTTATCAATATTTAACATAATGGGGGATTTCTTTGTGGAGAAAACTTGATTTTATGTCAGTTTCCTTATTTATAGGGAAGCTACTGATTTGAA